TCTGTTTTTAACTGACAAATCCATACTTTCAAAACCTAGGCTTTCTTAACTTGTTTAACTCACTCCAAAATTTTTTCTTATTTTCATTAAAATTTCTTGACAGTGCCTCTCCCACTCTATCATCTGCTCTCCTTTTGCACTCTCACCACACTCTAAACTTATTCCTCTATAATTTTTACAATCTCTTTTGTCCTCCTTCCCTTTATATAAAGGGACTATACATGCTCTCTGCCAATCCCTAGGTACCTTCCCCTCTTTCATACATTTATTAAACAAAAATACCAACCACTCCTACAGTATATCCCCCCTGCTTTTAACATGTGTGGTGTGAATATAATGCAGAGAATCCATAGTTTGGAAATTAGCAGGTGCGAGGTTACTAAAAGTATTATCCAGAGGGCTGAGGAGGGGTTGTCGAGGTGGTTCAGACATTTAGAGAGGGTGGAAAGAAATCGAATGCTCGGAGAGCACATAAATCTTTAATGGGAGGCAGAGTAGGGTCGGCCTAGGAAAAGTTAGAGGTGCAAGGGGCTTGGACTTCAACATACACGAGTGTGTTGTATAGGAGTATACCTGAAGAGGGTTTCGGGGGTCAATGCCCCCAAGGCCAGGTCTGTGACCAGGCCTCATGGTGGATCGGGGCCTAATCAGCCAGGCTATTACTTATGAATGGTTCAAAGAACTGACATGTTGTTAAATTAGACACATGTGCAACTCTTGGGTATCTTTATTGAGGAAACGTTTTGCCACACAGTGGCTTCATCCGTCCATACAAAGGATAAACTTGAACAGGAGGAGAATGAGGTAATCAGTTCCTCAGCCTTGAATCGATGTGGTCAGTCCATCAATCTTGAATAGAATACGGCATAGGAGCAGAGAAGCAGCTTATAAACCGTATGGCAGGAGAGGTGCAGCAATCGTAGGTGGTGTCACATTTGTCCAATGTGGAAGTAGGTCGTGCCCAAGGGTTAGGCAAGCGAAGAATTCCCAAGTATTAACCCTTTGACCATTGCGGCCGTATATATACGTCTTGCGAGGTACCGGGTTTGGCGTATATATACTCATAAATTCTAGCGGCTTCAAATCAAGGAGGAGAAAGCTGGTGGGCCCACATGTGAGAGAATGGGTGTGTGGTCAGTGTGCACCACATAAAAAAAAATCCTGGAGCACGCAGTGTATAATGAGAAAAAAAACTGACCGTTTTTTTTTAATTAAAATGCCGACTTTGTGGTCTATTTTTGTATAGTATTTATGGTTGTATTCTCGTTTTCTTGGTCTCATTTGATAGAATGGAAAACATATTATAGAAAAAGAGATGATTTTGGTTGATTTTACTATATAAAAGACCTGGAAATGGAGCTCAAAGTAGGGGAAATGTTTGAATTTTGCCGATGTTCAAAAGTAAACTAATGACATCATTCCCCAAATAAATGTCCAACTAGCCATTCTAATATGCAGTCATGAATGGGGTGATGTTATTTATACAATTATTACGTTTTTAGTAGTCTGCATAATAGTAAATTTTCTATTTTTTGTTTGAATAAAAATTCAAAATAGAAAGCAAGAGTAATATCAGAGGGGCGGGAGACATGACTGATGAACAAAAAAAAATTTGTTATTTTAGAGCCAGGAATGTCTGCATTGTTCATTCTGGACCTTATTTTAAAATTTGTCATATTTTTAATTTTTGTGAAATTGGCCAAATTGCAAATTTTGACCACGTTATTGGGTAGTTGAAATTGGTAAATGGGCAGTTTCTTGTCTATTCGATTAGAAAAAATGGAGTTCTAAAAGGGAAATAGCTATCAGTTGGTACGACTGAAACAGAGGGAATTAGCAAAAATCTGGGCCTCAAAGGGGCGAAACGCCCGATATTTGTTAAATATCGCCAAGGTCACTAACTTCGCCGAGAGCGTAATTCCGTCAGTTTGCCATGCAAAATTCTGTTATTTTTCCCCGGTGTCATTACAATCGGGAAAAGATTGTCTCTTATCATTTCATTGAGAAAAATAAAATAATTTTTTTTATTTTTTTTTTAAATTTTGCATTGCGACACCAGGAGGAACCACCTCTGGGATTGGGGGTTGCGACAGTCTCAAGGGGTTTAAGTAAGGATCCCAAGAAGTTGCAGTGTTCTGGACAGATTGTATATGATTGGTTCAAAGAAGAATGTTGTTAAATTAGACATATGTGCAACTCTTGGGGTATTCTTTATTTTAGGAACGTTTCACACAGTGGCTTCATCAGTCCATACAAAGGAATAAACTTGAAGAGCAGGGGATGAATGATGGTAATCAGTCCCTATTCTTGTGTCGATGTGGTCAGTCCATCAATTTTGATGGAATGACCACATGTGTCTAATTTACAACATGTCGGTTCTTTGAACCATTCATCTACAATCTGTCAGCGCACTGCAACTTCTTGGGATCTTAATACCTTGGGAATTCTATCACTTGCCTAACCCTTGGGCACGACTCCTTCCACAATGGACAAATGTGACGCCACCCTTATGACTGCTCTGCACCTCTCCTGCCATACGGTTTTATAAGCTGCTTCTCCGCCTCCTATGCCGTATTCTATTCAAGATTGATTAGACCGACCACATTGACTCAAGGCTGAGGGATCTGATTATACCTCATCATCCTCCTGTTTCTTCCAAGTTTATTCCTTTGTTTATGGACTGATGAAGCACTGTCGTGGCAAAATGTTCCTTCATCAATAAAGATACCAAGAGTTGCACATGTGTCTAATTATCAGGCTATTAATTTGGACTGCACACACCCGAGTTACAAACCACAGCCCTGCTGGTCAGGTACTTAACTTTAGGTGGAGACAAATTTTTTTTTCTTTTTTTTTTGCTTGATGTGGTGTTGGAATGTAAGGAATATTAGCATTTATGAAGGGATTCAGGGAACCTGGCTATCTGGGAATGGAGTTCCTGGTGGTGGGGAAGTACAGTGCCTTGCACTCTGAAAGGGGGTGTTGTATATTAGTTTTTTTTAAACGTATGTAGGTGCGCCCCTCTGACAAGAGTGGATGTGAATGATGAAAGTATTTCTTTTTTGGGGGGTCACCCTTACCATGGTGAAAAATGGCTGATGTATTATTAATTTTGTTTCTTTTTTATGGTTTTTTTAACAAATCCAGGCCATTATATCCCACCGGAGGCAGGGTGGCCCAAAAAGAAAAAAACAAAGTTTTCTCTATTTAAATTTAGTAAATTTATACAGGAAAAGGGGTTACTAGCCCCTTGCTCCCGGCATTTTAGCCGCCCCTCTTACAGCCATGCATGGCTATGGAGATAGAATTCTTGTTCCACTTCCCATGGGAAGCTGATGTTATTAAATAAAAAAAATAAATACAGCCTCTCCTCCACTAAGCAAGTAACACGTTTACCGACGACTCAGACTTTACGGAGGGGTCTCTGACCAGTTTGCATACGCAAATAATGTAATATTTGAGCTGATTTCTCCTATTCTGTTTTGACAATATACAGTACACTACTGTGTAAAACATTTTTTTAAAAAAAATTATCCCAGAAATTTTATAAATGGTGCAAAGGTGACGTTAAAACAATGTCAAGATGGCTGGACACAAACCAACATACCCATTATAGGAAGCGTACCAGAACTTGCGTTAAGTGAGGAGTAGGCTTGTAAGTGATTGGAGGTCGAGGTCTGCTGGGTTTAACACTGAGTTTACCACTCACAGCTTCAGAAATTGATGTACTAGTAAGTTCTCAACTTGCTAACAACTGTGGGGCCTCCTGAATTGTGTATATATCAAGTTTTCCTCACTTAACAACGAGTTTGGTTCCTAAGAGTAGGTCAGTAAGTGATTGGTGTTAAACAAGGAGCTCTTGCCCCTAACTGATGTTTCATGATATTACTGCACTGGTAGTGGGTCTTGTGTCATCCATTTTTAGGTATTGTTTTAATGTCATCTTAGCTACCATTTATAATGTTTTTTAGTATGTTTATTATAAAAATAGAATAGGCATTAAAAACAATAAAAAAAAAGTAAAAATACACACAGTCAATATTACTTAAAACATTTTGTAGTCCTAATGGTTAGGGTGAGAGGTCAGTATTTTATTGTAGGAAGAGGATGTTGCAAAGAATGGAAGAAGTACAAAAGAAGTTCACCTTAAAGGGTTAGTGATGTATCTCGGAATGAGCAATCTCCAAGAACCATATTTGTCTAAGATTTATTCTTTATTGTGAACCCGTAGTACAAGGTAGTAGTTAGAAGTGCAGCTAGGACTTGAAGACGAAAAAACAAGAGGTAATTGAAAAAGAGATGTACAAAAGTTTGCGTAAGGGTTAGCTGGTGTGTTTCTCTGTGATTACATTTTGGTGTCTCCTTGTGGCAATCGTAAGAAATCGTTAAACCATCTTGAGGATCCTGGCCGTAGATCTATGCTTGTCCCACAGGGTCCATCCAAAGCTGTAGTTCTTATCACATGAGCTCAGCTCACCTCAAAATAAGATGAGTGGTAAATTTGGTGCCTAGATACGAGAGAATGGATCTACGTGGTAAGTGGGCACCATGTTAAAACAAATCTGTCAGTACAGAGTGCATAAGAGAGGAAGAACCTTGTGACCTGATGTTTTTGGATTAATGATCGAGTTTGTGGTATATTTTTGTATGGTTTTTAACGGTTGTTTTCTGTGAGTATTTGCCCGTTTCTTTGGCCTCATTTGATTTGTAATGAAAGATACATTAAGAAATAGAGATATTGGTTGGTTTTAGTACTGAAAATAGCTTGATATTGAGCTTGAAGTGGTTGAAATAATGGGTATACAGTTGAAAACTGTTGTATTAGCGATACACTGTAAAGTGAGGCCCTCTTTTTTTATTTTTTTTTTTTTTTTTTTTTTACTGAATATATGGTAGGTCTTTCATTTGAAAACATTTTTAGTTTCAGACATAGTTGATTTGAAGGTTATTTATTTATTTTACTTGGATTTTATTAAATGTAAGCATGTTTTTCTTTTCAGCACCTTTCCGTAAATTTCACATTGCCGTCGAGAAGCTGAAGAGAGAAAATAAGCATACTAAGCATGGGAATGTATTCGACTTGAGCCGAATGCCAGTATACGACCCTGCAAATCTTATAGGTGTGTTACGTAGCTGTATTTGCCTGTTATTTAGTTTTTATATCCAGACAACTATTGTATATTCAGAAAGTCATTGTTGGTTTCAGCTAAATGATGCTCATAATTTTGTTCAAAGGTTGCATAATTATTTCATATATTTAAGGATCATGGCCTCTTTAGCCAGGACTAAAATTGTCTATTGGCAAGTTATAGTTTTTCTTTTGTAATAATTGATTTTATTGTTAACTATTATCTGCTTGGTATTAGCCATAGATTTAAGAGTTTGGTTCTGGAGAACAACTTTAGAATACTGTTTAATCAGTTTCACCCCCCCCAACCCCGCATATCGCCCTAATTTTTGCTACCTCTATAACATATTATCAGTTTTATTTCTGCCCCCCGCCTTCATTTTGCTATTTTTTTTTTTTTATAACAACAAGAGGTAAATGTTCATGAAAAGGCAGATGGCAGAGGAAATAATTTTATTATATTTGAGTTATGAACATAAAGTGTTTGTTGGGAAGATAGATAGTGGCATGCAGGCATGGGCTCTAAATAATAACTCTGTTCTGTAGTAAATATTAGTAAAGTATACTAGAGGGATCAATCATTTAACCCTTTCAGGGTTGGACCCCCTGAACTTACATTGCTCTTGGGGTCAGGAGAATTTAATAAAGAAAAATATGTATATTGTTTTTGTGGAAATGATTCGAGGAACTTTTTCTTAAGGTAATGTAGTTCCAAGATAAACAAGATAGACATTCCTGGACTTAAAGCAACACTTTCTCTGATCATTAGTCATGTCCTCAGGGCACTCTCCTGTATTACAGTTTCTTTCCATTTGAAATTTTTATAACCTCCCCCCCCACCCTCAAAATAGAATGTGTAGCTATTATGCAGAATACTGCATTATTGCAATACTTACATAAATAATGTCACACTTTCATGACACACTTATTAGGACTGACTAATTGGACACACATTGGACAAGTGTCATAATTTGTTACTCTTGGAATATCAGCAAATAGGAACATCTTACCTGCGCTCAATTTCAGAGCTTACTTTTCCAGTCCTGAAACAAATCCAAAATTGTCTGTCCTGTAATTGCATCTTCCATTCATTAAAATGAGACCAAAACTTGGAATACAACCCTGGTAAACCATGTGAATAGCACAAGCACATGTCAGTGTTGTAATTATAAAAACATGTTGTGCAGTTTTTTTTCCCATTATGTTTACTGGCATGGCTTGCTAGTACATAATGAGCTGACCTCATAGAGCTATGTAAATAATGGACCCTTCCCGACCTGTACATCAAAGCAACTAGAACAGTGGGGACCCACACCGAAAAACGGTTAAAGTACATCAGCCCTGCTAAAATTACGACCACAGGTTTATCCCATGCACGCTTCAGGAGATCCTTTAAACCATCTAGGAAGTGACTGGCTGCTTTCTTCTGGGTTTCAGGGAGTAGGGTAAATTTCCCATGACTCACAGATGGGCCTCTTAAAGCTGTGAGAGTGGGATGATATCTTACCCTCCTAGTACATTTTACTCATCATCAGGTTTATGTCTGGGGAATATTTCCCGGGCCAGTCCTTTGAAGGGAAAAAAGGTCTTTGTCATGAACCCAGTCAAAAACACATTTTTACAGTGTGGCAAGGAGCACTTTTGCTCATAAAAATCTTTTTGCAAATGTTAAATATTGAAAATTTAGGAAAATGATAAACGCCATTTCTAGGTTTATTGGTATGTGGGTACTGTCATGAACACTGTCCTCAGTGAACCTACACAACCAGGTCCTGTAGACACCTCACACACACACACACACACACACCTCACAAACACACACACACACAACACACCACACACACACACACACACCCACACAAACACACACACACACCACAAACAACACACAACAGACACCACACACAGACCACACCACACACACACACACACTCAACACACAACACACACAACTCCACCAGAACACACACACCACACACACACCACACACACACACACACACACACATCACACCACACACTAACACACACACACACACACACAACCTAACAGACACACAACTAACAGGGACACACACACACACACACACAGACCACCACACACACACACAGCACAGAGCACACACACAGACACACACACAGAACACACACACAGACACACACACAGACACACACAGACACACACACACAGGAAGACACACACACACAGACACACACAGACACACACACAGACACTACACACACACAAGACACACCCACACACAGGACACACACACACAGACACACACAACAGACACACACACAGACCCACAACAGACACACACACAGTCACACACACACAGGACACCACACACACACACAGACACACACACAGACACAGACACACACACAACACACACCACACACACACACAAACACACACACACAACACACAAAAACGAACAGACACACACACAACACACAGGATCACAAACGAACAGACAACAAAACAGATCACACACACCACTGAACCCACACACACAGACACACACACACAGACATCACCCACACACAGGACTACACACACAGCAGGACACACTACCCACTCACCACAGACACTCACACACACAGACACCACACACAGACACACACAACACAGACAACACAACCCACAGACACACACAGACACACACACACAAACCACACACACACACACACACACACACACACAGACACCACACACAGACTTCACACACACACACACACACACACACACACACACACCACACACACACACACACTCACACACATCACAGACCGGCAAAGTACAGTCTAGGGGGCAGAGACTTACAAACCTCACTCAAGGAAAAAGAACTTGGGTTGAGTATAGACACCAGGCACATCTCCTGAAGCGCACATCACCAAATGAACTGCTGCAGCATATGGGCGCTAGCAAACCTCAGAACAGCATTCCGACATCTTAATAAGGATCTTTCACGGCCGCCTGTACACGTGTACGTTAGGCCCATATTGGAGTATGGCGGTCACCAGTTTGGAATAACCCAACTACCTCAGCAAGCTACGTGAGAAACTAGTAGAGAAAGTGCAAAAGGTTTGCAGAACAAGACTTGTCCCAGAGCTAAGAGGTATGTCTAACGAGGATGAGGTTAAGGGAAATCAACCTGACGCACTGAGAGGACAGGATGAGATAGGGGGGGACCCATGATAACGACATACAAAATACTGAGAGGGAATTGGACAAGGTGGACAAAAGACAGGATGTTCAGAGATTGGACACAGTAACAAGGGGAACAGTTGGAAGCTGAAGACACAGATGAATCCAGGGATGTTAGGAAGTATTTACTTCTGCCAACGAGTTAGTCAGTAAGTGGAATAGTTGGGAAATCGATGTAGGGAGGCAGTGATCCATACTAGCTTTAAGCAGAGGTATGATAAGCTCACGGCTATGGGAGAGTTGAACCTGGTAGCGATCAGTGAGAGGCTGGGGCAGGAGCTGGACTCGTCCCCCGCAACCTTCAATATGGTGAGCTACACAGACACACACCGGACACACAACGACACACACAGACAGACACACACAGACACAGACACACACACACACAACACACAGAACACACCACACCACACTCAGCCACACTACACACACAGACACACACACACACACAGGACTCACACACACAGACCAACACACACAGACTACACTCAACACACTAGACACACAACACACACAAGGACACCACATACACAGACACACAGCACAGCACACAGGGACACCCACACATACACAGAACACACACACACACAGAACACACACACGCACACCACTACACACACACACACACTCACAACACCACACACGCACACATCACACGCCACACACGCCAGACACACGCCACACACACACACACAACACACACACACACACACCACACACACACAACACATCACATCACCACAGGACACACAGACAAGACAACACACACACACACACACACCAACAACTACAACACACACACACACACACACCCACACACACACACACACACACACACACACACACACACCAACATCCCCTTTGGGCCTGTGTCCATGTGGGTTTTAAGATTTCGAATACACAGTAAGCTACAAGTGGAGGGAGAAGCAGGAACGGCCAGGACGAATGAAGCAACTGACAAGAAAGGGGACATACTAGGAATGAGGAACTTCCTGATACGGGGTTCGTGGGTACAGATGATAACTGGCAGGGGAAGCCAGTTAATGAGATGATGGAATATGTAGCAACCAAATGCAAGGAAGGCTGAGGAGATGGGTTTGTACCCAAGGGTTAACGGAATAATGGGAAAAAGCTAGGATGAGCCCTTGGTTTACCCAAAGGTGCAGGGAGGCAAAAAACCAAGTGTGCTAGGGAATGGAAGACATAGATAGAAGGCAAAGGTGACCCAGGAGATAAGGAGAGCAGTCATAGAGCCAGAGAAAACGAATTATATGCACAGTAAGAAGGGAGGCCCAAAGACAATATGAAAAATGACATAGCATCGAAAGCCAAATCTGATCCCGAAAACTGTGTACAGCCAACATCAGGAGGGAAAACAAAAGTCAAGGACCAGCGTTAATTCATGCTTAAGGAAGGGAGGGAAAGGAGGCGAGGACAATCAAGTAATTGACCGTGTGTGAAGTATGTGAGGGAACTCAAACAAGAGATTCTCAAAAGAAGTGTTCACAGAGTGGAGACAGATGGGGCTCAGAGAAGACGGAGAGGTGGGGCACACCACCATGTGTGGACACAGTGGCCACACAAGCCCCGAGGAAGAAAGAATGAAGAGGCTTCTGATGTGAGCTAGAGACCTCAAAGGCAATGGGGGCCAGGATAAACATCTCCCGCTTGGTATTGAGAGTAGGGAGAGAGGCGCTATGTGTACCCATATACAACAATTATTCAATACATTCTATCGAAAACAGGGAGATTGCCTGAGGCATGGGGAAGACAGCAAAA